TCACAGTTATGATTAGAAATGTCCCAGGAATGCGTGGGGAAGGAGTGTACGGTCTGCCTCAGATAGTGGCAGCATGGTCTCTAGCTCTCTCAGAAGTGGCCAGATGTTATTGTCTTTTTTTCCCAGTACTTTTGATTCGATAAGGTCATCTTTTCCATGTGCTCAATAGTAACAGCTCATTCACTCAAGTCTGGCTGCAGAGGAGCTGGGAGAGGGGAACATCTGACTTGACTCTCTGCTGTGGGATTCTGGCAGCGTTTGCTGCCATTCTCCAACACTGGCACGCAACAGCACCCACCCCGGGGTAAGCACCTCCTAGTAACTTTTCAGCCTCATACCCAATTTTCCACTCCCCTCTATTCCTAGGCTCTGCCCCAGCCCCTGGCAAGGCTTTTCTTTCTAAAGAATCTCTACAAGAGTCTTCACTTGCTCTTCCCGGGGTAGTGATAAAAGTTTTGAGATCAGTGTACAAAGAGACGTAACACCTCTGCAGTGCCAATGTCATTGCTAGGGTTAGGTTAGACAGCAAGGTACTGGTTGAATTTATTTCCCTTGGCTATTTGAAAGTTATTTGCAGATAGGCTTCCTCCGCCCCTGCCCCAGCATGCAAATTTTGTGGTTTGCCTGACATACTTAGCTGTGAGCTTTATTCACACGGGTCACTAGTCTAGCCTTTGACTAATTGAATATCCCAACCTACTTTAAAACAGGACTTGCAACTGAACATTTTGCCAGAAGAGGGAACTGTAGCTCCATCTCCCAACAGCTGCTCAAGCACAACTGGCAGATACATACTTATTAAAAGCTTTGGATTAAGTCAGTCCTTCACCTCTTTCTCCCGAGGCAGCTGCTGGGAAGAACCTTCTGTAAGATTTCAAAGGGATTAAATATTCTATTAGATCCGTTTTGCCAAAACCCAACCATCTAAGTCATATCAGGTCTAAAAGCACTTTAACACTCATTTAAATTCATGAAGTTTTTATTATCGATGCTGTTTGAAGGAAGAATGTTGTGCCTTTTTAATAAGTCTTTTGTGTTTTAGTTTCTCAGCAGCCAGGTTAGAGTTAACCAACAAAAATGCAGTTATATTTCTAACAGCATGACTCCAGAAACTGGCACTTCAAGAACACCACCAACATTGCTAGTCTTGCAATGAATTATTAGAGCACTTGAGACCTCAGATGTGTTTGGCCACCTGGAGAAACTATTGGGTGAGGTTCTCTAGAGGGCTTCTTCAGATAGTCCTGTTCTGAAAACACCCCTGCACAGTTAGAAATCCTATTGCTTCTACTTCCTCCCTCAAGGCTTCCCTTAAGTTTCATTTGCTGGCTTCCCTCAAGTTTCATTTGCTAAGTCCTGCATCAAATTAGTATATACAGTAGGTTAACAGTGAAGGAAGTGGGTAAGTGTAACAGCCCACAGGAGCAAAGAGGATCTCCCTGATCTTGCGATAGCAGAGGTCTGGGGTCAGGGGCAAGGAAGCGAAGCTGGCAAAGCCTAGAATTAAGATCAAGAGAAGATACCAGCCAGCGCAGGGCTGGGAAGAACTGCGTAGCTGAGCATGAAGGGCCAGAAACAGTGCAAATCCATGGGCACAGACTCCTCAGGCAAAGGAAAGAATTGCATGAACTGGGAAATGACTTATGCAATGCTTTGGGAGCTCCAGTTCAAACAAGCTAAGCAAGCTGGACAGTTTGTGTTTCAGCATTTCCAGAGGCCCCACTGTTCTGAGCGTTTGCCTCCATTGCACAGGAAGAGGGCTTTGGTAACAGCCTTTCCATACATTTTCTCTATTCCAGCCCCAGCAGGCAATCTCACCATTGCCACATTTTGGTGGCAGGGACCAAGATGCAGGCCCCGCATGCAAGGTTGCTTCTATTCAGCTGTACATACAGTGCTCCGAAGAGCTGCCTAAGCAGAGAGCAGCAAGTACGGAAAAAGGCAGGGGTGTGATGCAACTTTCCTGGGGCCACAGAGCAGATAGGTGGAAGAGCCAGGAACTGCATCTGTCTCCTGAAATGGAGAGTTGTTTGCAG